TTGCCTTTATGAAAAATGGTAATAACTTTAATCCATTTTCTTATTAATTTAGGTATAATTGGAAGTCAACATTTTTTAATATCGGTAATAAGTTCGATATTTTTAATTTTTGTTTAAACCCACCCCTAATTTCTTTCAGTGCAAATATATTGGCCGTGCTCCTCAGCTGGCATCTTGTTATGATTAATGGACATATGTTCCAGACCACCTCGCCCTGCCCCCCCTCCCCCGTCCCTGTCCCTTTTTTTTGCCGCACGTGAGTTTGAAAAAGTTTCCGAATTTTTTTTTGTTCTTTTCTAGTTCAACAGAAGTTCATCGAAGTATTTTTGTGGGACATCATCTGTGTGAAATTCGCAAAGCAATCAAAATGTTTGCCAAACTAGAGCAAAGAATATGCATTTCCATACTTTTTGAGGGAGGATTAGATTTCACTTTAAGGGGAGTTAAGGGTATTTAAAGACTAGCTTTAAATGGTTATTTTAATAATAAACCGAATAATAAGTAATGTCAAGTAAACAATTTATAAAACTTACCTGACAGTATGTAGAATCATTACACATGTAATGTATACATTAAATTTACATACATTCTCTCTCTTTACATCTTGCCAGGTAGCGGTACCTTGCGACACTTGGGGCTGTGCCGGCTGTCCATCCTACTTCCACACGCACGCACACGACGAAAAGCGACGCCAAACACATTTCACCATACTTTATGAATTAAGTTTAAGTTTTATTACAACTGATTCTATATTAATTAATGAATAAACACTTTATAAGAAAAACAACAACCAACTTCGAACACACAATGTCAACCACTGATTAATCAAGTGCAAGAAGAAGAGCAATAACACGAGAACGAGGTGAAATCGATCAGAGAGTAATAGAGCGGGATCAATGGAGAGGGAACCTGGTGGTGGTGGGTAGCCAGTGGGAGATGCTGTCGTGGAGAGCGAGTGATAGGGGTGTGGGGAGATGTGGAGGCAGCAACTGCTGGCGAAAATTTGTATGTTTTCCAGTCCAGTTATTTTGTAAGAATATATTCCAAGCGAGAAGGAAAAGGTAAAATTGGAAGAAGGGGAAGTTATAGTTAAAGGGTCAACCTTTATCTTATCTTTAAAAATTTCCAAATTATCTCTCCAAATAATTATATAAATAATTTCTATTCTATTCGATTTCTGGTTAAAAAGGTAAAAATTTAACAAATAAATCCTAAAACCAACTCTATAATAGAATCTAACGAATAAATAATAGACAACATTTTCCCATCTACCCATGGCCTGTCACTATCATTTTCCACAACCAATTGAATCTAGAACAATTTAAGCCAAAATTGATTACCAGCCATCAACCATCAACCCATCGACTGTCAGCAGTCAGTAGTCAGCAACTTGACTTCAAAGGCTTCTATTTTTATTGACCAGAGGCCGAGAGTGAATCGGGGGAAAAATGCAATACAAATTGCAGGACAAATCCCTCCGGACAATAAGCAAATACTACGCGGGGAATCCTTTGCCTGGGCGATCTCTGCTTGGCTTTCCAGGAATAAGTACAAATTCAATTGAAGAATGCAGAAAAGGAAAACCCACCTTGATGGATTCCTTTTTCTGGCCTTGCCTTTTAGACCAAAAGGACATCGACATTTATTAATGCCACAGCCAGGCCGAGTGACAGGAAACGCTTTCTTGGCCAAATTGCACTTGTCATGGCCTCGGGCTGTTTCACAAAAAGGGGGGCGAACCAAATCCTCGAATCGTGACAAATCGCAATGGAAACCTAAAGTACCTTTCAGAGTATTATTTCAAAGAAAAATCCACCAAGTCAACAATGAAAATGGTTCACATTACTTGTTCTTAGTTTTCATGAATGAAATATTGGAAAATTCTCATTTTTTGATGAATTAATAAATAGTTTTATTCACAAAACCCGCATGAATCAGCGGGATAAAATAAAGTATGGGGGTGAAAAAAAATATGTATGTCTTTTTAAATATAATTGTAGTTAACAAGCAAAAAAAAAAACAAGTTTCATTAAAATTGTAAGCGAAGCAGGCAAATATATGTATATGGAGAAAAAAAGAAACAGTTTATTAAACAAATAAAGCCAAGGGGCGTGGCTCTTCAATTAGTCAGACTTACCCCCGTCCATTTCAATTTGATTCTCAATTTTTTTATTTCCGCCCCACACAGCCACCGCAATCACTAAACTATTTATACACTGCGAGGATAAGAGGTCTGACACATAATTTTTCATTTTTTTTTAATGAAAATGGTTTAATATGAGGGAAGAATTATAATGAAGATGTTTAAGTTTATTCCTATCTAAGCAATTAAATTTATTTTTACTTTAAAAGCAAAGCCTCCTGAGTCCCATCTAAAAGACAATCGATTAAAAAATAATAATTAGTTCATAGAGATTCAATTAGAAGTTCATTTTAAAATAGTTGCATACTAGTATAACTATTAACAATTTAAAAAACATTTCACTGGAACTCAAATATTTTTTTCTGTTTAAAAATTGTATAAATACTATGTATGTATTATCTATGCACTAATATTTTTCTCAAAGTGCACACATTGCACTATTAACTCACAACCCAGAGCATTTCAATAAAATAATAATTGTTCTGTACTTTACTCAGTTTGCTGATTCATCTCCGGCAGGGAAAACACCTGCAGCTCTCACAAATATAGTATCTACTTACAGATACAAAATGACAAAATAGAACCAAACTACAGATGAACCTACCTGGCCCTTGTAGGGTCACAGGTTAATCGGAAGAAAGGCAAAGGGAGACAACAAATGTCGTCTATGAAATACCCAAAAGAAAAGAGTTTTTACGATATAGGGTAGAATGGACGCACTTTTAATGGCAATATCCATACAGGATGTCGCATCTTTTATGGCACTTTCACCTCCACCATCAACTTTGACCTCAGCGCGCAGATTCTCGCTGCGAGAGAATAACAGTGAGGCGCCATTAAATTGTCGGTTTCAGTTCTAAGAACTCTAGATAATGCCCCAGGAGCTATATATATTATCGAGCGTAACGATCGCGTCAGGTAGGAAGGAATACCTGGAACATTTATGGAATACCAAAATAGTTCAAGTTTCGTAATTTATATAATAATAGACTGACATTTACGACATATAGACGACGACTATATTAAGAGTTTACAACCCAAGATGACATGATAGGAATTTGGGACGGATATGGCTCAAATGGCAATATATGTATGACTGTTTAAGATGGAAAAATGGGTATTATAAAATAATTATACAATATATATGTTATAAGGATATTAAGGCAAAGGATTTTGCAATGACAAAATCTTTCCCAGCAAAATCTTTACCTTTGCCAATTTAGATTCGATTGTTAAGATGAATCAAAATTGATCAAAATCCTGAGAAAAAATATTCTAAAGATTTTTTGTCCATTTTTCCTGATGGGATCCCTTGAAATGGGGTTTTCCCCTATAGGGCCAACGGTGATGGCTATATCTTTTCCAATTCTCATCCGATTCTCAAGCGGAATACCTTAAACGATTTGTCGATCGATTCTCCACCATTCTGCATCGAAATCCCGTGACAAAATATTTTTCAGATTTTTTGTCCATTTTTCCTGATGGGATCCCTTGAAATGGGGTTTTCCCCTATAGGGCCAACGCTGCTGGCTATATCTTCCACAATTCTCATCCGATTCTTAAGCGGAGTACCTTAAACGATTTGTGGATCGATTTGCTACCATTCTGCATCAAAATTCTGAGACAAAATATTTTTCAGATTTTTTGTCCATTTTTCGCGATGGGATCCCTTGAAATGGGGTTTTCCCCTATAGGGCCAAAGGTGATGGCTATATCTTCCACAATTCTCATCCGATTCTCAAGCGGAATACCTTAAACGATTTCTGGGTCGATTTGCTACTATTCTGCATCAAAATTCTGAGACAAAATATTTTTCAGATTTTTTGTCCATTTTTCCTGATGGGATCCCTTGAAAATGGGGTTTTCCCCTATAGGGCCAACGGTGATGGCTATATCTTCCACAATTCTCATCCGATTCTTAAGCGGAGTACCTTAAACGATTTCTAGATCGATTCTCCACCATTCTGCATCGAAATCCCGTGACAAAATATTTTTCAGATTTTTTGTCCATTTTTCCTGATGGGATCCCTTGAAAATGGGGTTTTCCCCTATAGGGCCAACGGTGATGGCTATATCTTCCCCAATTTTCATTCGATTCTCAAGCGGAGTACCTTTAACGATTTCTGGATCGATTTGCCACCATTCTGCATCAAAATCCTGAGGAAAAATATTTTTTAGATTTTTTGTCCATTTTTCCTGATGGGATCCCTTGAAAATGTGGTTCTCTCCTATAGAGCCCACCATGATGGCTATATCTTCCCCAATTCTCATCCGATTCTCAAGCGGAGTACCTCAAACGATTTCTAGATCGATTCTCCACCATTCTGCATCAAAATCCTGAGGCAAAATATTTTTTAGATTTTTTGTCCATTTTTCCTGATGGGGTCCTTTGAAAATGTGGTTCTTTCCTATAGGGCCCACCATGATGGCGATATCATCCCCAATTCTCATCCGGTTCTCATGCGGAGCACCTTAAACGATTTCTAGATCGATTCTCCACCATTCTGCATCAAAATCCTGAGACTAAATATTTTTCAGATTTTTGGTCAATTTTTCCTGATGGGATTCCTTGAAAATGGGGTTTTGCCCTATAGGGTCCACAGTGATGGCTATATCCCAATTCTCATCTGAGTTTTAAGCGGAATATCCCTAAAGATTGGTATAAATCTTTAAATCGACAAATCGGCATCGAAATTTAAAAAGGAAATATCTTTTACATTTTTTGTCAAATTTTTGGAGAAAATTCCTTGAACATTTCAAAAATTAAATGGCCATGAGAAAGTTTTCGGATTTCAAAGTAAAACAAGATAATCATTAAACATTTTCATTGGCAGTCAGCCTGATCAAATGTATACAAATAAATACATAAAATTTAGAACTGGAAATCATAAATCCAACCAAAATATAAATAAAATTCTTCAGTAATTTGTATAAGTCGGGACTACACCAATAATAATACCCGAGTCTAACGATGTTCGAGCTTCACCAGATAAAAAAAATCAATAGGGGGCTGATGCGGATTTTCCATCGGATCTTTTTTCGCAACGAATTCCCTCCATACTCAATATGGGAATTTTGTCCGATGAATCGCTGGAATCAAGTCGTGGATGTCCTAAGATACTATAGTCTTTGCCGTGCCGAGTGGTTTCCGTATATATACTGGACAGTACTGCTATGCAGCTGCTTGGGATTCTTTTGCAGCTTACGGGAACTTCGTATGGTGTGGATAACTCCTTGCCAAAAGTTGAAGATGTGGCGCAATCGTCAATTCTATATCATAAGTCATCGTCGTCTACGTCAGGCTCGACTTGCTGGCTCCGTAATATCCCTAATCTCATGGATTCTACTACTCATTGGCATTACACAGGTACGTATGAATATGGTAGGATAATATATCTTATAGCTGGATATATATCCCCACCTTTTCAGAGCTCTCCTCTTTTGATGTGGCCATGGCTTATCGTAACCAGCATTGTCATGTTCACCGAATGGTTTATCTGGGGCTTTGAAATCGTCACCGGGCGAGTGTACATCGATTTTCAAACTGCGATATCTCTGCTTCTGCCGGTCTTTCATCTTGCGATGGTGCGTTGCGTGCAAGGGGTCTATAATGCGGATGAACGGGATTCGTGTTTTTGGGACCTTGTCTCACATTGCAATTGTTAGGACCAAAAAGAATCTCACAAAACTATTGCCAAAAGAAGCTTATCCCAAAACCAAACCGATCCTAAAGTCCGATCCGATCCGATCCGATCCGCTGCCGAATGTCATCATTAAATAAAAGGTGCAGGGCCAGCATAATTGTATCTCAACCTGCATTAAGTTCAATTAACTTGGCGGCGGCAACACGCACACACCAAAAGAAAGGAAAATAAAATAAGCCCTTTAAAGTTGAGGGGCCCTAATCAGTTTTTAGTTTTCAGTTACGAGGTTCCCCCTCGGGGTTTGGCAAGAGCCGGGTTTCGTCTTGGGGTACGGCACGGGCCTAGCAAGCAAACACCTTGCCAACATCATATCATCCTACCTTTTGGGCCCTTTCCCCCCCACCCTTTTAACAACTCTGGAGCGCACTCTTGGAAAACACTCTACCATGAATTACATTGGGAAATTGTAGAGACTTTTGCTTAAAAATAAAAACTTCTAAAAAAAAAAAGGGTTTAAAAGTTGAGAAGATATGAAATATCTTTTTCAACGTACTAGTTTTAAAAAATTCCTTGCCAATTTTAATTAATAAAGAATATAAGAAAAGGAAATGAAAAGCTAACGTACCCCTTTGATGAGTCAGGGCATTTAAGATAATGTGCCTTCATTTCAACACTGTTAACTTCATCGATTGGACCTTAACTTGCACCTGTTGCAAGTTGCCTGAAATTTTGCAAAAAAAACAAAGACTTCTTACTGCAAGCTGCAAGCCACCGAAATCTATACATAATTAAAAAGCAAAAACCAAAAAAAAATATATATACTGAGAAGTAATAAAGGAAAAAGCACGCACAGGACCAGGGATGCCCGAAACAAGAGGGTTTGGTCGGCTCGGCTTCTCATCTGTCCAGACCAGTTATGTGACATTCGAACCCCCCAGAAAAAAAAACAACAAAAGCAACAATACAACAACAAAAAATACAAAAAAAAAGTTTAAGAAATAAAATTACAGCTGGCCTTTGGGCGAGGCATCTTTGAGTTGCATCTGTCCGTTGAAGAAAAAAAGAAAAGAAATCTGCCAAGGAAGTTAAGAAATAAAATTGAAAATAAGAAGATTTAAGCTTTAAAATAGGCATGGAAAAATTAGGAAAAAAGTGGTCGTCATTTTGTCATGTGTTATATATTTTATTTGATTAAGATATAAGTTCAAAATTGAACCCAAACCCCCTCAATAGAAACCCAAATTCTTGTGTGTGGCTCTGGGCTTTTCTTTTCTTTATTTTTTACTTTCTCCACTTTCCACATTTCCATTTTCTCACAATTTATATTTCATACAAAAGTTGTCTTTCTTAAGCTCATCCGTCCGTCGTCCTTCGTCCTGTGAAACTATTTTCCATTTTATTTTTGTATTTTTTTTGTTCATTACGTATACGCCTCGCTAATTACAAAATTTGTTAGAGTTCTATTAAGTTATTAAATATATATATAAATTTATATATATATATCATACATACAATTTGTTGTTTCTTGCTTTCTAAATATATATATATATAATATATAATTGAATATTTTTAAGTATATGGTGTATATTTTATATTTGGATTCAATAATTCTTAATTTTTGATATTTTTATCGTTTTGTATAATAAATGTATATACGAATTGGTGTGTGTGTGTCTGAGGGTGTGTTTGTATGTGTAAAACACATTTATTAAATATTTTCGAAAAAATACAAAATTTACAAAAATTTCTCTCTTATTTTTTTTGCTTCCTTTTTTTTCTTTCTGGCAAATTTTTTATATTTTGTTTTTTTTTTTTTGGTTAGTTTAACTATTGAAGCCTGTTTAATGTATTTTTATAAATCTATTTTTTTTGTTTATTTTTTTAAAGCTGTATTTTGTTATAAGCAGGGTTTCTTTTAATGTATTTTGGGGTTTTTGTTCATAAATTTTGTTTCTGTCATTATTTACATACATTTTTTCTTCTAGGACTATTTTGTACTTTTGATTCTGCATTGCCTTTAGTGTTTCCATTTTTTTTGTCAAATTTATATTTTTTGTGTGTTTTTTCAAGACGACCTTGATGTCTAGCGAATTTCCAGTTCTTGCCAGTTCAAATCAAAAAAATGTAGGCAATAAATTAACCAAAATATACGCTAAACAAATGACAGAAATAACTTTTACACACATGCGCAAAAAATAAAATTAAATAAAATGGTTTAAACGAAATTCGCTTTTAGCAGAGGCGTTTAAATTTATGAATTTCGCCATAAGTGTATTAAAAAAGAACTAATAAAAATATATGGGTGGAAAAAAAAGAAACAAGTCATGGATAAAACAGTGATTTACTGGCCGTGTGAACTGTGACATTAAACAAAAAATTAAAGCCGTGATTGTGTTAAAAATTGTGCAAAAATGAAAAAACTGCTATTTCCAGGGGTCACAGATCATTTGCCAGTGATGATGATTGTGATTATGAATCATGGGGGGAAACGTGACTTTTTTTTACTTTAAAATATTTAAATAATTCACGCAAAACAAATCATTAAAATATAAACGATCATTTATAAACTTTTTCCGCTTTAAAAGCTTTAAATTCACAAATTAAAAAGTGACCTTTTTTAAATTATTTTCATAATAATCCATTTTTTTATGTAGGTTAATTATTTTTAATTTAGTTCTTAAAAAAAAACAATTCTAATAATAATTAGTATATTTTATGTGATAATTTAAGTAATTTAGGAACAATTTAAACTTCCAAGATGAAAACCGTAATAAACCCATTCAAAAATAGAAAAGCAAAAGTCAAAAAGATCAACTTAAAAAAAAAAAAAGTAAAAGAGATAAACAAAAGCGGTAGCTATTAAAAAAAAACCAAAAACGCAGACGCAGTCGCAGCCGCAGCGCAGCCGGCGTGACCTTCACCCAATAAAGCGACCGACCGCGGTCAGAGTGTACAAAAAAAATAAAAAAAAAAAATTGTTGCTGTTCTTCTTGATGTTTTCTTTTTTTTTCCTCATTTATTTTTTGTTTCTTTTTTTTTGCAGTTAAACAATTGTGCACGCCAATTTTTTTTTTGCCTTTGTTTTGCTTTGCACGTTTGTTTGGATGAATTTGTCGGCTACTTATCTGGATACCCTGTCTTTTTGGGGGCAATATTACATTTTTCATAATCCATATAGGCAGCATATTTCCCATAAGTTTCTATAAAATTTTTCATTAAAATAAATACTTCAAACAAGTCTAGAAACCTAACATATTTAATTAACTAATTAATTCCAAAACATTGCATATTCTATTTACAACAAAAAAAAACCTCAAACCTAGATTAAATTTATTAAAAACTCTTTTATTATATTCTAGAAAACGTTTCATCCAAAAAAAATTTAAACATTTTTCGAACATTTTATTACTGTATCATATTTTATAAAAAATTTTAATTGTTTGGATATTTATATTATTAAAATTACAAAATAAACTCACATAATTTAAAGAATTTCTTTAAAGCATTTTAAAATATGAAAAAAATTTAATCAAAGCTTCGTGTTATATTTTTCCTTCTATACAATATAATAAATATTACTTACACATATATTTTCTTTTATAAAATTTACAAAATAAATAAATATTTACCAAATTTAAAGAGCATCTTTAAATTCGTGGTATACCTTTCTCTGAAGCTTAATTCACTTAATGAAAAAAAAAGAAATTGCAACAAAAAAGGCAACCGGCAACTGAAACTGAATGATTGTAGTAAAAAATGAAAACAAAAACCTACAACAATAACAAATGCCAAATTCGTATAAATGAAATTTTATTATATTATTATCGTGATTGTTGTTAGTGTTGCTCCCATTGTCGTTTTGATTTCATTAAAATTTTTGTTCGCCGGTGAAAAACAAAAACAATGGCAAAAACAAAAATTGCAACCGAATCAAACCGCAAAACAAAATCAAAACAAACTTTGATTGAATTAAGTTAATATGTCTGGAGGGCGTGATGACGGAGCGAGGCGATGACACCCCGGGCGTATACTTGATTAGAAACGGCGACAAAAGCAATTTCCCAGCGCCCCACGCCCCCACAGCCCCCCTTTGGAAATTACCCACAAAATGAATCACTTTGGTATGAATCATAATAAATTGGTAACGAAAGTGACAATAAAAACTAAAAATAGAAAATCTAACAGATAAAAATAGGCTTAAATGAGATTTAAAAGTATTTACATTTTTTCTAAGAAATCTTTTAAATAAAAATCAAAGTGATTTTAAAAATAGTTTATGCTTTTTTTTGGTATAAAAAATTGAATTTCTAAACCATTTTTGAAATTAATTTTAAAAATGCTGAAAAACAAGAAAAGTCTGCTCACTTTTCTGAAAATTTTCAAAATAATAAAAAACCACAACAAGCGGAAATAAAAACAAAATAAAAATTGATTTTTTTCTTGGTATGTTGAAATATTTTTATTGTATAATTCCATAATCATAAGGTTTTGCAAAAAAAAATAGTTAAACGTTTTGTTTTTCTATATATATATTTCTTTTCTTGTTATATATATAATAGTGTGTATATATATATAGGTGTGTGTGTGTGTGTATGTTGTTTTTATATATAGTTTATATATGTAAGAGGTACATAAAATGTAATTTATTGTGTTTTCTCATTTTTTTCTCTTTCAATTTTTTTGTTGAATAATTTTTCATGTATTTTTTATTTTTCATTAATAAGTAACTACATAACGAGTTAAAAATTATCATATAATATATTTATATAGTTGTTTAGCTTGATTTCTTGGTAAATCTGTTTTGCCATCTATATCATGAATAGTTCTTGATTTTGCAATTTTTGTTTTTTATACATGCACATATTTATTTATTAATTAAGCAATAACCAAAAAATAGAACATATTTGCTTTGTGAAGAACAATCAAATCATAGAATTTATTTTTCAAATATTTTTTTCCAAATAAAATCGTTGTTGTGAAAATATTTTAATATTTCAATCATGCTCGTCTATAAGTTCCATATTTTTTCCTTCAATGTATTAACATGTTTTATTTTTTTTTTTTTAGGAGTTTTTATTTTTTTAAATTGCTTAATTTCAAATAAATTTTTGTGTAATAATATGTGTGTAATAATAAATTTTAACAACTAATTCAAATAGTAGTTTGTGTGTATACATAATATAAAAAATTTCATAATCATAAAAAATATATATATATAAACATAAAAACATTAGTTGTTTTGTTTTTTTTTTCTTTTAGTTTTTGCTTTTTTAGTTATACATTTAATATAAGAAAAAAATGTTGAATTTTTTTTGTTTTTGTTTGCGAGGATTTTGGTTTTGGTAATAGTTTTTCTTTTTTATATTAATTGTTTGTTTTTGTTTAAATCGAAAATAAAGAGTAATCTTTAAAAATGCTTTTTCAGTTTTTGCTTGTTTTTTTTTTTTTGAATTTTTGTTTTGTTTTTGTGGTAACAATAAATTAAAGGACTCAAACTTAGAAAAGGACTGGCTTTTCTGGTTCTTTGTTTCTGGTTTTACTTTTTTTTTTGTTTGTTGTTGTTTGCTTTTGTTTATTGTATCGTAAATTTGTACGGTTCTTGTTTTTTTTTTTAATTTATTTTTGTTTTTAGATGAAATTAAAGAAGGAAAACGAGGTTTGTTTTTGTTTAAACTATTTCTTGGTTTGTATGTACTATAGGAAAATAGGTGCATTTGTGTATGTGTTTTTTGTGTTTGTTTTGTGTATAATATAGGTATAAGTGTGTATGTGTATTGTGTGTTTGTTGTGTTGGTTTTTGTTTTTGTTTGTTGGTTTATTGAAGTTTTGTTTTTTGTTTTCGTTTCGGTTTCGCGTTGTACATTTCGCTTAAGTCTATTGCTTTGAGTTTTCTCTCCGGGTTTTTTTGTTTTTCTATAAAAATAATTCCTTCTTATTTGGGTTTTTGTTTGTAACTATTTTTGTTTTTGTAAATTTGCATTTTTAATATATATATCTTTCTATGTTTCGTGTGTAACTATTATTTAACGAGATTGCTATTTACAGTGTATATTTTATTTCTCTTTATTTTCTTCTTTTTTTTTTGTTAACAATTTTTTTGTTGTTTTTTTTTTTAGCATAGAAATAATAGTTAAATAATTAAGTCGTGCTTGTTTTTAGTTTTTCTTTATATTTTGCCTTTGAAAAAAAATCTATTTTTTGCGGCGGCGTAATGATTGAAGAAAAAAAATTGAAAATAAAAATCAAAAATATATGTTTCATGTTATCATACCTAAATGATATTGCTATTAATAGACAAAAAAAAATATAGTATAAGAATTGTATATAATATATGGGTATATAGATTTATAGTAGTATTGGTACAAAGCCTAGAAACTCACATTGAAAAAAAACTTCGTTGAAACGTCCTATTTTTTGTTGTTTTTTAATTTAAATTTAAAAGAAATTTCGATCTCATTCTTTAGGACAAGTTTTTTCTTCTGGTCATATCATGTGTAAATTTTTTTCTTTCTGTGTATCTAAACCTAAATAACAGTTGACATTTCCTTAGAATCGTTTCGTTTCTTTTTGTTTTTTTTTTCTAATGCTCTTTTTCTTATGCGTTTTTAACTTCATTCGCTTTTTTTATGCTTCATCATGTATATATATATATATATATATATATAGTTTAGTTATAGCAGATATATATATATATATATAAAGTGTATGTATATTTAGATGCATGTAAACAATTGGTATATAATCGTTAATCATATATAACATATTGCCAAACGGCAATAACTTATTAGCAAAAAATCGACAGTTAAACAGCTCACAAAAGTTTGAGTTTCTTTTTTCGGGGGGGTGGGTGACGTGGGTTTTCATTTCTCATTTTTATCTCTGGATTATTATCAAGTCTGGATCATATTTTATCATCATACTACCATCATCATCCAACATCAACACACACCTCCAACAACAACAGCAAACTTTGCAGCCAATTTTTGTATTCCTTCTCTCCTCCAATCTCACTCGCTCTCTCTCTCTCTATCTCTATCTAACTATCTTTACCCTCTTTTTTCGTTAAGGGTTAGATACCACTATTAAATAGTTTATATTTTTTTTTGTTTGTTTTTAAAGTTTACTTAATTCCTTTGTTTTTCGTTAAGTTTTGCGCATTTCATATGCATAGTTATCAGTTTTTAAAAAAATATAATATACCTAATTATATATAGCGTTAAACAAAAAAAAAAAAGAATATATATATATAGTAATATGATTGTAAAACGGTTGACTATATACACATACTATATAGGTTGTATATATAGTACTATATATATATATGTTGCATTCATATTTGAATTCTTCAAATATATAGCAAAGTAAAAAAAATGTATTTTTCTGATATAGGCAGTAGAGTTCAAGTGTTTTTGTTGTTTTTACGGGTATAAATATTAAAAGCGTTTCTTCTTTTCATAAATCATCATCATTATCATCATCGTCATATAAGATATATAGATAATAGCAGGGATCTTGAGGGTTTAAAGCAAAAGCAATTACAGAATAGTTAGGGTTTCTTTCTTTCTATGCGTCTTTATAGGGATTATAGATTTCATTATATATCTTTTGGATCCAAGCGCGCATATACATGTGTATAAAAAAAAAAGAGATATATATATATGTATGTACATTTGGTTATAGTAGTTCATGATTACTTTTATACCAATGACAATATATATATATGTATATACTTCCGAAAGTAAGTTTAGTTTGTTTTTTTTTTTGAAGCCGGCTCTCTGAGTTTTGCAACCAAAAGTTCTACTTTTAGCTATACTACGTACATATCCTATAAGAAAGCTATATATATATCCGTATATATAGATCCTTATGCTCTTCACTCTTTTCTTTTTGTTTTTCGACTTTCTCTTTGCCCCTTTCTTTCTTTCTTTCGTTCTTTCTTTCCTCTTCCTATGTTTTGTGGCTCTTTCGTTGTAACTTTTGTCTGTTTTCCGTTTCCGTTTTTGTGTTTTTCTTTTTTACTTTTTACTCCTTTTCCTTTCCCTTTCTTTTTTCTCCTTCTCTTCCCTCTTCTCTATCATTTCTTATTCATTTTGTTTTCACTTTTCTTCATTGTTTTGGTTCCTTGTCCTTGTTTTTTTTTGTTTTGTTTTTATCTGGTTTTTTGTTTTTGTTGTTGTTGTTTGTTTAATTCATGGTTAAGTAGCTCTAATTTTAAAAAATATATATATATATACGTGTGTTATATACAGGAGGCCTTAACCCTAAAAGCTAAACCCTATAAAAAAAAATAGTAAGCAGCAAACAAAAAAATATATTATATTTAATGAAAAAAAAAAAAATTAAACTTCAACTTGATTTCATATCAAAAAGAGTCTGTCCTTAAATATTCTTTCCATGATTGTTTTTAGTTTTTTCGGTTTTAAATCGCTGGTTAAGAAAATCATATATATCACATTAAAGAAATCAAATTTTTTTGTTGCTTTTTTTTTTTTTAGTTAAATCACTTGTGTAGTCTGGGGGGAAGGGAGGTATATTATACGAATATAATAAAAGCAAGCCCGAAAAAAAATTCCTAAAATATAAATCCTTAACATAGCCTACCAACTGATATTGAAGTTCAATAAGAAATTAGAGCAAAAAATAAAAAAAAAAAGTTAAACAAACGCTTAAGGTCAAGAGCGAAAAAAATAGAAGATTTTAAAAAAAAAATCGATTATCAAAATCGATTGAAAAAGTCGACAAATTTTGGAGGAAAAAAATATATATCCTAGTAAAAAAAAAAAATTTATATATATCTGAATATATCCTAAGCACTTGCTAGCCTAGGTACGCCGCCGCTCCCGCAGGATTGGGAGCCTGCTCCTTGTCATAAGAACGAGGAACACAGGACTATCCACTGACGGACACCGCCGTCTCTTTCTCCCGCTTCATGGCCCTCAGCCTGGCGAGGATCTCGTGCTGCTCCTTGAGACGCTTGTGCAGCGCAAACTTCTGGCTGCTCAACTCCTCCTCCTCGCGGGTCAGCTGCTCGCACAGCTTGGCCGCCTCCCGCAATATATTCACTTTGGGTGCCCGCTCCTTATCCCGAATGGTGGGAATCTGTTTCTTCAGTGCCTCGAACAGATTCTTGAGACCGATGCGACGCTGTCGCTCCATATCGTTGTGCTGGTTACGCTTCTCGATCGTATCCGCCTCGTCCAGGCTGTACTGTTGCTGCTGCACCTGCTGCTGCTGATGGTGGTGGTGCTGGTGCTGGTGCTGATGGTGCTGCTGGCGGGATCCAGCCGCCGACATGCCCGTCGAGTTCTGACGCACCAGGACCATATCATGGCTATCACCGGCACTGCCGGTCTTCTTGCCGCGGCACTTCTTGCTGGCCATCATACCCGATGCCGTCGTCGTCGCCATCACATCCCGGGGGCATGCCGCCTTCGTCAACGATGTTGCACCGTTTCCACTGCTCACCTTCACAAAGTAACGCTTGCGATTCTTTGAATTATTATTGGTGGTGGCACTGCCGAAGCCAGAACTGGAGCTCGAACTGGAGCTGCTGGAACTGCTCGAGCTACTCGTGTTCACGTTGGGGAAGTCAAAGCTGTGCTGTACGGGTCCGGATGCAAACGAGTAGGGTGTGCTCGAGGGCGAGGGATAACGGGAGTTGGCTACCGATTTAACGGGACTACTGCTAGCCGGCGTATATGGCAGAGTGTATTCATGGTTCTTGGTCTGATCGTCACGGGAGATCTTGTCGGATATTTTGGATTGTAAGGCGCCCATGACATGACACGAGGGATTCGTGGGCAGGTTCTTGTCCGTGTAGGATACCACATCGATTTCTTCATCTGTAATTGAAAAGAATATAAAAGAAATGATGAGAAATTAATCGACATTTATCGATAAAAATCGATAGGTGTAATTTAAGCTTGAAAAATCATCAACTTCGGTAGTAACTAGATAGTATTTGAAGTGCTAGTAAGTCCATCATGATTAGAACTATCAATTCCTTAGATACTTCTTATCTATTAATCGATAATTTACCGATTTAAGTAAACAGTTATCTTAAGAACTCTTCTGAAGCAAAAAGCAACCTCAACTCATGTATCTTTCAAGCATTTCCTTTTATAATAAACCAATTTAGCTGAAAACTATATATCAACTAGAAATTCTATTCATTATCCTCCACCCTGCCTCTATTTATATAGAACGTTTCTTCTTCTTTCAAGCTAAAAACTAAAGCCCCGCAAATGTTTTTCTTTTGCGCAAGTTTAATGACCCTTGGCTAGAATTATGGCTTAAATGGGTAGGTAGTAGGATGGTAGGATGGTAAATGGTAGTTGGTAGCTGGTATCTGGTAGAATGGGCGTGGCTGGTAAAGCGGATTAGTGTGTCAACGTTTGGGGGCACAAACATATGCCTCGTCGTATGGTGGCCCGTATCTTGTATCTTGTGTGAGACTTCAGGAAGCAATAGATTTGCACGGATTTCAATTTCAAGTGGCAAACACAGAGAAGTCGACGACGTCGCCGACGACGACGACGACGCCCTTTTGTTTTTCTGTTGACGTCATGGGTTTGTCTCCAACATTTTTTTTTGTTATTATTTTATTTGCGGAATTCCGCCTAGCAACAGACAAAGAGAAAGCATTTCGAGAAAAGAGAAACAGAAACTGCCTCTAGAGTCTCTTTCCGTTTTTATTTTATTTTATTATTATATTTTTTTTTTGCTAATTTAATGTTTCCGTTGCAACATTGTGGCTTGGAAAAGTCTATGCTCACACACTTGTAAATAATAACTCGCTAAAGGAATGATTAAAAAAAAAATAAATTAAATAATAACCAGAGTTAGTCCAACTGTTTAAATAAAATATTTGCCTTTAAAAGCAACTTTTTTTTTAAATCAACTGTGCAAGCATGTTGATAAAAAAAAAAGCGCATGGCAACAAAATAAATAAATACAAAAATTAAAAAAAAAACAGGTGGATAGAGGAGTAAAAACTGCTGACAAGTGCAACAAGTTGCAAGATCAAGTGCATGGGAGACTTGCAACACAAGACCAGAAATAAAATAAAATATAGAAAAAAAAACAGGAGACAAAAAAAACCTACCATCTGGAAACCGCAACGAAATCGAAACCTGCCACAAGATGAGTGAGAACGAGATGCAGCAACAAACTTGCAGCATGACTCAGAAAAAAAAAAAAAACAAGAAAGGAGTCAAGACAAGTTCTCTGGGTTTTTTCTCCTTTTTTTTATATTATTTTTTTTTTTTTGCCAACGTCATCATTCCACTTTGGCTAGACAAGCTACAGACCACCAAGATTACCAAATCCCCCCCTTAAGACTTTTTTTTTTGTCGCGGGGGGAACCTTGGAATGCCGTCGGCCATTTTTCATTAGTAATGCGCCAAAGGAGCTCACAAAAAAAAAAAATAAGATAAAATAAAATAAAAATAAAAGAAAAGAATGTCTACGAGAAGAGTCAGTGGATTCTGTGGAATGCCACAAAAATGGTCAGCAAAAAATTCAGTTTGGGGCAAAAAGCTTAAGAATTTCAAAAGGAAATATTTATTTTTATAAATTTTAGAATGAAACAACAATAAGAACTTAATGAAATATAAAACCAACCACTCTCACAAATAATCAAATAATCAAAACAAAGCAATTTGCAATTATTCAACAACATAGGTACTTCCCCCCCCCTAATTTTGCACCAAAATTTTCACCCTCACTTTTCGAAAAAGTGCATCTGCTTTAAAAAAGTGCATTTGCAAATGAAAATAAAAGCAAATAATGCAAAACTAGGGTTGCAAAGAAATGAGCTTTTTTTTTTTTTGTTGTTGTTGCCTTAGTTAACTAACGGTTATTCCGCGCACAAATCGCTTCACCAAACATATACATATATACCTTTTGAAATATATGTATATATATACACAGATATATCTCCATGAATCGAAACCAGACAAACTCGTTTGCTGCATTAAGATACAAGAAACCGAAGAAGCAGAGGGAATAACAACAACAACAACAAAAACCAAACAAAGCAACTTTTATTTTTTTTTTTTTGTTTTTTTATACGAGACAGCGGTAGCAGCAACTTTTGTTGCTAAGCGAGAAGCCAAGATCAAATCGTAATAATAAAGCCAGTGAGACGACAGACCCAGAAACCAAACCAGGTCTATATACTACACTATAAAAAAAAAATATAATACTTCTATCGAAATGAAACTTGTCTAAAAGGTGTATTATGATGTTTAAAAAATAAACTTAAGGTTTTTTTTAAATTTATTTCAAGCAACAATAAAGTTATGGCCTTTACTTAGGCCTTTTTTAAGGACTTTTTGGAACCGTTCTTCAAAATATTTAAATTTTTTTTGTTGAGTTGATGTACCCTCTATGAGAGAGCATCAGAAATGCCAAAGAGGAAGCTGTCTGTTGATTACAATTGCAAATAAAATGCACACACGCCGCCACATGTTGCGCAACTTTTGTCAGGAAAAGGGGCGGTACTTACACATATAGACAAATATATATATCTATAGGTATATATATATGTTGATAACGCCACAGACGCCTTTTGCCCTATAAAATTAGCATATAGAAGGGTGAAAGATGCAAAAGAAGAAGAGCTAGTGAGATGCGGACAGACAGACCAAAAGGGAGACTCAAAAAAATACAAAATAAAAAAAAGGGACAAGTGCATCATCAATAAAAAAAAAAAAAAGAGGAGAAAAGTAAATGAGATGTATCTCTACTGCATTGAAATATACCGCCCGCCCCAGCTCAAGGGTTAAGCTCTCAATCTAAATTATTTTCCATTTCAAAACGAAAAAACGACAAAATGATGTAATACAGACAAGAATTTCAGCCTATAAAATAAGAGAAGCAAATACGACAGTCGAGAAATAAAAAAAAATGGCAATGATAAGTCAGCAAATAGGAAAAACAGTGGGTTAGAAGTAGTAAAGAATTTTTAAGAAAATAAATTAATAAAAAAAAAAATATGAAAATTGAAAAGAAATCTTAAAAAAGTGATTTAAAGAAAATAATTAAATAGAATAAAAATGTTTTTAATTAATAAGCAACCTTAACAAGCTTTATTACTTCAAAGTACCCCTACTTTACCCATCTTGTATTACTTAATTTCTTTTTATTTTCCAACCACTGTGCCCACATCGTTAAATTAAACAAATCCGCTTATTTAACACAGAAGCAAAAAAAGAAAAAAATAAAAAAAAGTCTGGAGACGAGAATATATCAATCGTCGCCTTCCCTTGTAAATTTTGTTTAATAACAAAACGTTTGTTTATTTTTGCTCTGACCGTGTCTGTGACTTTTTATGACATACCTCCCCCTTATTTATTTTTATTATTATTTGTTTTTTTTTTTTTTAGTTCATTAAAAAGGCTTTTAGATGATTTCATATATTTTGTTTATATTAATTGAACAATTTCTTGGGAATTTTTTTTTAAGATTCTTGAAAGAAATTTCGAAATATTCCCACGCACTCCCCCCCTTGTATTTTTGCGTTGGCATTTCGCATGAAAATCAAATAGAATTGCAGGCACCACCAATACCAACAACACATGTTGCACTTTTGCACCAAAAGGTTAAACAACAGACAACAATGCAACATGCAACATCTGCTGGCAACATGTCGCTCAACCGCAAAATCACAAAAACACAAATCGTACTATAGAGGTTATAAAAAAAATAGGGTTTAGGGTAAAAAAAAAAAATATTTAAAAAATAATATTTAATGATCAAATTTAAAATTTTATAAATTAATTTTAATATTTTTTCTTTTTTTTTTTTCTTTAGTTTATTTGAAGTCTTATTTTGTTGGCCTAGATTGTTTATTTTTTTTTTTTTTTTGCTTCCGCTGCTGCTGCATTTGCAGATTTTCCCACGCGCATTTGTTGCAATTTTCTTTCCCTCTCCCACTGTAGTTTTTTCCTTCCTTGGCAAAGAAAAAAAGAAAAAAAAACGTAAAAGAAAATGGGAATTTCATCACACGAGGAAAAGCAGGATGTGAGTCATCAAAGCCTTTGCCTTTTGGCCAAGAAAAGCCCGCCTCCTTTTTTTTTTTGGAAAATGACAAATGTTTTTTTAGCGTCGCAATGCGACATTATTTTTTTTTTTATTGCCAAGCATCATTAATGTAAAAATGTAACTTGCACACATAAATTATGAAAATGCGTCTGGCAACATTTCGGTGGCGTCTCTGCTGTTTTTCCTTTTTTTTTTCGGCAACATTCTTGGGCGTGGATCTTTTTCTATTTTTTTTTCTGTTTTTTTTTTTTGTAAATATTTCTCAAGCAACATGATACACAGCAACATCCATATATATATATACATACATATATAGGCAGGAAATCTCTCATAAACGTTGAAAGGGAGGCTCGTTCGGAAGAAGAAAAAAAAATCGCAGAAAAAAAAAAAGATAAATAAATAAAGCTGTGCCAAGTGCGTGCGAGAGAGAAAGAGAGAGAGAGAGCTGAGAGCTTTGCCCTGTCTCCCTCGGACGCTAACGCTTTTGGCATTTTTATCACCCGACGCCGCTGCCACTGTCGACGTCGCCGCTTTTTCGACCTTGAGCATAACAATTTATTGCTACACGTGTGCGAATAAAGCAACAACAACAAAAGCACCAACTACGACGCAATAGACAGAGATAGCCGAGACGCCAAAGCTTCAGTGGCAGCAGCAGCGGCAGCGGTAGCAGCGCGCGTGAGCGAGAGAGTGTGCGTAAAAGACGCGCCTAGCAACAGTCCCAAGAAACTGCCAAAAACGAAAAAAAAAGCTGAAAACGCGTGAGACAAGCAAAGCAAAAAAAAAAAAAATTATCAAGCATACGCACCATTGTTAGCAGGGGTTTCTGTTTTACAAGGCAAGTTGGAGGTTTAGAAGGTAAAATACTATATTTAATATTTTTTTTTATTTATTAAATAAAACACTAGCCACCCCTTTTAATTTTTGCCATTTTTGTTTTGCTTTCTAGTTTTGCCAAAAAAAAATAAAACAAAGAAACTGAAAGTGAAAACCGCGCAAAAAAAAATAAAAGGAAATGAAACCCACAACTATTTCTTTGTTTTTCTTTTTTCTATTATTATTTGTCGTTTTTTTTTGTGTATTTTTTCTGTTTGTTTCCGTGAGTAACTCTGCTTTTTGGTCATAAAAGTTCTCGATTTTTTTTTATTCTCGATTTCGTTTTCTACGCACTTTTTTTTTCCAGCGCCTGACCTTGGTTCAGTTCATTAACATTTTTCCCAAAAAGCCCACCACGCTCACACACACGCACAATCAAAAAGGTGCGAAATGCCAAAAACCAACACGCACAACAAAAAAAAAAAAAAAAAAAAAATTTGAGGCGCCAACATACGCATGTTGCTCTCTCCCTTCCACTCCCACTTAGCACCCACCCACCCCCACGCACACGCACACGCTCTGACTTTATCTATTGCCGTTTGTGTTGCCAAGTCTTGACCTCTCTCTCCCTCACGTGACACGCCCTCTCTCCCCCTCGCACAATTACCTTTTATATTAATTAGAAGAGTTTCGAACTCAAAAAAACAACAAAAACAATTGCAGCATAGTGATAAAAAAAAAAAAAAAAGTATAGTATTGATACAAGTGCGTGGGGGAAAGGGAGGGAGAATATTTGCTAATCTCCGTCCACGCACCTGATTTTTTTTCCCCTCTTTTTCTATTTCTAGACCGTTGCTGTGCGTAAAAAAAGTGGAGGGGGGGGCGGCGTTTGTGGGAGGTGGGGGGCCGAGAAAATAATCTTAGACCACTTGTGTCAAGTTTTTTTTTTAGTTGCTAAATTAGCAGTGGAAAAATTATGATGTTCATGTGTGATAATAGTTTCTTTATCTTTTTTTTTTTTGCAATAAATTTTAAAAGTAATGGGCGTTTTCAAAAAAAAAATTTTAAAAAGAATCTGTATGTAGAGCGCTTGGTAACAAGCAAAAAAAAAAGCACTGTATGGTGACATCTCTGAGCAAAAGCACAAAAACAAAAACAAAATCATAACAAAAAAGCACACAGACAGAAACGTGCGCGCCTGCAAGATTTGCTTTTGCTTTTTTGTTTTGTGTGTGTTTTTTGTTGCTGCATTTTCGGTTTAACTGCACTCGGCAAATTGCAAACGTGCGCGAGAGCGAGAAAGCGCCCCGTCACAACAAGTGAGCGCATGGTGGTTGCTTTTGCTTTGCTTGCTTTTTCTTTTTTTTTTGTTTTTTTATTATTTACTTAATGGGCAGCAGACGCAGCATCTGTTGGAAAGCTTGCACATTGCAAATAGTAGTAGTAGTAGTAGTAGTAGTAGTAGTAGTTGCAAATGCATAGCGTAGCGTAAGGCGTAGTAGTAAAAAAAAAGAAGAATAATAAAAAAAAGTAAATGATTGACGTGACGTAAGCTTTAGAAAGAGATGAAGCAATGGGGAGGGTTGCTCAATGGCTAGAGAACTTTGCGCGCCAAAAAGAGAGAGGAAGACAATAAACCCGTTTAGGGGAAAATATTTAAATTTTTTGGAGAATTTTAATTTTCTACAAAATTAAATAATTTAAATTTTAAAAAATTAAAGAAAAATTAAATAAAAAAGTCTTCTAAAAATTTCTTTCAGTGTTTAAAAGCCGCCAAAGGAGGAAGGAAAATTTTTGGGAAACCGTTTTGGCCGTCTGCTCCGGGACTGATTCTGCCACGTGGCAGACATCCTTGAAAACAACAAGGATAACACAACAAGAGGGCGTTTAGGGTAAGGCCCCCCCCCGGAAAATTCTTCCCCGTTTTTGGGGTGTTGGCCCCAAAGAGAGGCAGAGAGAGAGTGAGAGAGCAAAGACAGATTCCTCTATATAGTATATATATATATATATATATATATATCGGTGTATATATAGTATATAAATTTTTTGGGCGTATTACTACTGCGCAAGAATATCATCGTCATCCCCCTTTTGGCCGGAGGATTCCTTGCCGGCCTTAGTGATGATGACTTTTGGGAGAGAGGATGACGCCATGAAGCTACTACTACAGCAAACCACCCACAACCCACCCACAGCCACCCCCTTTTTTCCCGCCACAGTTTAATGGCCCCCATGAATGCCACGCGCCACCAACATTCCGGCTCCCCCGAACAGTTGCGGGAAAGCATAAAGGAAAGCCCCCAAAGGCGGCAAAAAGAGCAACAAAAAAAAAAAAATCAATGGAAATGCCACCTCAGACAGACGCTGGCTGAGCAGTCAGCGTCGCTGTCGACGTCGCGTGGGCGTGTGCAACGTAACAAGTTTACTACGATTGCTGTTGACGTAGGCGGTTTTGTAGACGATCGATTTTCCGGCGCCGCCGGTCTCTTTCAGTGTACTTGTATCTGAAATCTTTTTTTTTTTTGCATTTGTATCTGTATCTGTATCCGTGTCTGTGTCTACTTTTCACACCCACACATACAGACACTCACATCGACAAACGGAAGTGCGAACACTAGTTGAATGTGCAACATTCGATGGGCCAGAAGAGAGGTGGTGGGTGGAAGAGTGGAGGGCGGGGGGCGGAGGCCGGACGGTGTGGAAAATTAATCAGCAAACCCACGAGATATATCCTGTTCTATAATTAGTTGATTACTTTTAACGTCATTCGGTTGGTCTGTGACTCCAAATAGAGTGTCTGGGTCTGGGTCTGGGTTTTTATTACATTTTCAAGTTTATTTTTTTAACGACTTTAATTTTAATATTTAAAGTGACCTTTTTTTTTATTTTTTATGAAACTTGTCACAGAAATCACCTAAGAGTTCTAGTTTTTTTCATAAAATTGTACTTTGGCGCCCATTTAGAGAAGGATTGTATTAAGCCTTTTTACTTTTTTAAGCTTTTTTTTAGTAAATATTTTAGTTTTAAAATTTAAAATTATGATTTGGTGCTTGTTTTACAAAACTAATCAGAAATTAACTATAAATTCCATTTTTTCTAAAATTTCATTTTGGCGCCCAATTCTAAAAAATTAAAATAAAATATAAAAAAACTCACCAGAATCGGAGGGTGTATCGAGACTGGGTCCATCGTCGACCATATCGTTGCAACGCGTATAACTGTGATCGGTGATGTGCTGCATCATATTGGAGGAGGCTGATCCATGGGCACGATGACTCCTCAGGCGCTGTCCCGGTGCTCCAAAGATGCAGTTCTTCGATGAATTACCATCATCCGAATCGCAATCGGAGCTTGTGGTCGGCGGGGATATGGCCACCGAGCCTTTATTATAGATATCGGTGCTATTGGACTGATCCTGATTGTTCAACACCTCAAGGACATCGGAGATCTGCGGCAGCGGGAATCGTACATTGATCTGACCCTTGCCATTCCCTTGCAGATCCTGGCATATCTGATTGATGCAGATTTGATTGAAACCATCGGGGGATAGCGAGATGTTATTGCTGCCCGTGAGACAGGCGCGAAGATCGACATTGTGCAGGAATTCTGGTGCCGATGGATTGCAGGCGGGGATGCTAATGCCCTCATCGTCCATGCTGTGTGGTGTATCGGGCCTCAGGCAGGGTCGCACCTTCAACTTGGACAGGGACTCGCTAGCTTGGGTGTTCCTCTTGCGGAGGAGACTACCGCCCGGCGGTATCGACTCCTCGTTCAAATTTGTCGTCTGCTGGACGGGCTTGACGTCCAAACGGAGCCTTAGCGCTGCTGAGACTGGCGGGTAGGTGGTAGTTGTGGTATTGGTGACCTCATCCATTGGCTCATCCTTGATATAGACCATCTGGTTGGTCGTCTGTTGTTGTTGCAGATCGTAGGGATTCTGTGAATTGGATACTGCTGCCAGTGGCATTGAAATGGTGTCTGTGTATGAGGAGGCAGCACTGTTGCTACCGCCGGTCATAGCTGCAGCATTGCTGCCATTGTGTATCGCCGGCCACATGCAGTCAGCATTCCGGATGCCGCTCTTGATGTCCTCCTCGTCATGGATGAAGGCGCTGCCCATATAGGGTTCGGTTATCTTGGCCAGATCGCTCGCGATGCTGGGGGGCAGGCCGTTGTTCAACATTAAAAAATCCTCATCTAGAATATCCATCTGACCGATGCTGTTGTCCATCGAGAAATCGAAATCGCTGGACAGATCCATTCCCAATTTTTCAATGGCTCCGTACTCGAGTTCCATTGTGTCCGGTTTAAAAAACATACATATGTCGTCTATATTTCCTGAGTTGGAGCTGTCTGTGGGTTAAAAAAATATTAGATATTTTAATTAAATAATTTTATAATAAAATTTAAATATTTTTCTATTTTTTTTTTTTTAGAATTTTAAAAAAGGAGTTTATTTATCTTCTATTTATATATTTTTTCAAGTTTGTTGTAGATTTTTATAAAATATTTATTATAATTTTAATCATATAAGAATTATTATAATATGTATTATAATTTATTTTTTTATTTGGTTATATTATAATTTTTTATATTTTTATTTAATTTTCATAGCTTTATTATTATTTCATTTATTATTATTTGCTTTTTTTCAAATTTAAATTTTTTTAAAATTATGTTTTAATTTTAATCTCCAAAATATTCACTAAAAATACTCAAGAAAAAAAATAATCCTCATTAAAAAAATTCAATTTACTAAGAAAAAGTCCTCCTCCTCCATTAAAATGCCCTATAAACGATCGCCTATATAACTGAACTATATAATATTTCGATTCGACTGACGTCAGGCAACAGCAACAGCGCTGCTGTCTTTTTGGCGTTGTCGGGTTCTCGGGTTCAGCGCCAAATGTTAAAATGTTATCAAAGGCAAATAAATGCCATATACGCTATTCATTTATACGCTATTAACGGTACCCGGGCGAAGTGCCTTCCAAATCTCCCAGATTCTCTATTCGATGTTCTTCTCTTGACAACAACAGACAACGGTAACCGCGGGGAGCAAGGGGGGGAGGAGCATAAAAAAGGAATCACAAAGTTAGAACGGAAGGGTAGCTACATACTCCTCTGACCTTCAAAACTCATATTCTTCATATTTTGATCTCTTTACGTTCTTCCTCCATTTCCATCTCCCTCTCACTAGAAACCGTTTTTCAAGTGCCGTTGCATTTTGCGAAAAAAAAGGAAAAGATCAAAATTAACGGTTGATCTGTGTTACAGTTAAGCTGTTATATTTAGAACAGAAGCCAAAAAAATATACAAACTTGTAACTTTTTACAAAAAAAATATTATTTTTTGAAAATATTTACTTTATTTAAGAACACTTTTCAAAATCTTTACTATTTTTTTTTTTTTAAATTTCTAGAACACTTTTTTTTTTTTGGAAGAATTTCACCAACCAATGGAACTTCTATAGAACCTTGTGGAAAATTTTTAATTTTCCATTTAGAATTTCACAATATTTTTTTTTTTTATCTTTAATGAATTTTGGTAGACAAACAAAAAAAAAAAGATTTATATTATTTAATTATTATTTTTTGATTTTTCATTAATTATTTTATTATTTATTTTTGAGTTACAGAAGAAAAAAGAAACAGTTATTTTTGGTTTTCTGCCTTCCACAGAAACCGTTACCATACACTTTACTCTTTACTTCCTTCCAATTTCTCGCCCAAATCTTTATTATTTTTTCACTTTTCACAGAACTTGGGTTTTTATTTTATTTTATTTTGTTTTTTGTTGGACTCACCTTATAGGACAGCTTTTAGATTCCGTTACTGGATCGTTGCGCTGGTGCTGTGTTTGTGTGTGTGTATCCAGTTGTCAGTGTGTTGGGTTGTCTATTCAATTAAATGTAATCCAATTTGGTTAAGTTTTCTAGATACGCCTCTATATCTTATACGTTGTTGTTGCTGTTGTGTTCTCACAAGTGTTGTTGCGCACTTTTTGCGTCAATATTGTGATAATGTTGGGGAGTGTTGAGGGGGATTTCTCAGCAAAAAAAATTTTAACAAAAACACCAAAAAAAGGGACACCAAAAAAAATTTCGCCCTTTTTTCCGCGCGCTTTACCGTTAAGTTTGCAATTTAATTTTTCTGTATTTATTTTTTTTCTCCTTATCTTTCGATCGCAGAGAACTTTCGATTTTTTTTTTGCCGGATTTTGTTTCTATTAGCGTTTTACGTATCACCTTAGAATATGTTAGTTATTTATTAGTTAATTGTTTTCGCTTTCTTGCTAACTTTCTTGTTTCATTTATATTTTTTCTTTTTGTATTTCCTTTTTTTTTCAAATATATTTTATTTAAAATTATTGTAACACCTGCAAGTTTTTTTTTATACTTTTTTTAAATTTTTCTTGCTTGATTTTTATTTTTTTATTTTAGCACTGTTGTTGCATGGGGCATTATTTAAATTGAATTGAATTTTTTTCTTCGAATTAGGTTGTTTCTACATTAAATTATTTATTAATTTTTTTGTCGGGCGGAAAACAGCCAAAAATCCACGAAGAGCCAGTGGTAACGTTCGCTCGTGGCAAAATTCGAAATTCGAAAAAAAAATTTTGTTATTGTTGATGCTTTTAAACGTAGCGGCCACGGCTCCGTCTCTGCTTCTGTTAAATTGAGAGAAAGCAGCAGCGGCGACCGCAGCTATTGCCGGCCTTTTTTTTTGCTTGTATTTTGAACCACCTTGCACCGGCTAACATTCATCTCTCTCTCTTTTGAGAGATTTCCGACTGATTTCTGTTCAACTGAGAACGGCGGCTATGTCTATTAACAGTACATTCTGTTAGTATCTTTGGTTTTGAGCGCTGTTATTGCGCAGCAGCAGAGTTCTCTCGTTCTCTTTCGCCGCCCTGCCTTCCACAATTATACCAGTTATTGCAATTTGCAACGTAATTCCCAAAAGTTTCTATAAAGTTCTACGATTTTAAATGAATTTCATCAGATGTCAATATTTTGTTTGCCATATTAATGAACAACAAAATTAAACAAGTCTCTGTGTCTGTTACAGAGATAGACAAGGAGAGGAGGAGGTTGCAAAGTCAGTGGCAGCGACAGCGGCAGCGGCAGAATTAACAGAGAGCGAGCGCGCGAGATAGAGAATTTGAGTGTTATTCAAATGCCGGTACATGTGCCGGCCGGCAAAAACTCAATCGCTGGCGTTTTGTTTTGCTTTGCCCATTTCGTTTTGAGTGGAAAAATGCGCACCGATGCGAGTTTGAGTTTGTTTACAAAACAAAGACAGCAAGAAAGTTTTGTGGTGAAGGGCAAAGGAAAATGTAAAAAAAAAATCAACTTGAATGACAAATTCTGACCAGAAATTGGTAATTTTACTTTTTATTTTATGATCATGTTTTGGAGAGTTTTGGAATTAAAATGTTCCTACAATATAACAAAATAGTGCTTCTTATTTATTAAATAATGATTTTGAATCCTTAGAAGTCCTGGATTTTCTAGAAAATGGCTATTACGCAGTTGAAAGTTACTATTGTCTGGAAGTTTCCTTGGAATGATCATAGCTGGAAGTGCAGCCATATTCTATTCCTTTGTCAGTCTGTCCTTTAAACTTTGTATTCCAAGTAAGAATTTCTAACTGTAAATGGTATGAAGTGCAAGACAAAAATGAAGCTTACAAGAGTTTTAAGGAAGGGCATTTAATTAAAAGTTTTCTTTAATTTTATTATTGAATTTTAATTTAATAAGAATAATAATTATTAAAATTTTAATAATTTTTAAAAATTTCTTAAGATTTTGAAACAAAAAATCCCTTCAATCAGGCGCACCTATTTTCTGCTCCCCCTTTACCTACACCTGTGACTCCGCTCCCTTTCGCCACGTCCCTGGTCCTTCAGCCTTTTGTTCGGATTCCTTTTTCTCCGCCCGTGGCTTGCCGTCTCTTTTTATCTATTTAGTCGAGTTTTGCAGTCTGCGTTTTGTTTGTAATTTAAGCTGCACCCTCTCTATGTCCTTCTCTTTTTGTTGACACGTCCCCCCTGCTCACACACGTCCATACTCGCATTCGACTGCTTGCTTCGTCGGTGGCAACTCCGATTTCAGTTTGTCAAGTTGATTGAACCCGTGAACTTTGTGCAGAAAATAAAGGTAAACATAAAACAAAAGCCCAAATAAAAAACAAAGCAGATACAAAAAAGCCACAAGAAAATATTATTGTTTCAAGTGTATGGGTGTGTGTGTGTGTGAGTGAGTGAGTGAGAGGGCTTGTGTTTGGAGCCTACCTCAAGTCTAATTAAATTATGACAAGCAAATGGTCAAAGGAAACGGGGCGAAATGAAGCACACAAGCACACTACGAAAAAAAAAAGAATAACAAAGAGCTTGAAAAGCAAACACCAAAGATGGGAAAGAAAAACAAACAAGAAAAGCGAAAGAAATTGTGAAGAAATACTAAAGTAAAACAAATAATACAAAAAATTAAGTGATTTAATAATTTTAAAGTAAGAAGTAAAGTAAGATGTTTTTTCTTGTGTATTTCTTTTCTCTTGCAACATTTACAGTTATTTTGGGTATCATTTTCAAGAAGAAGTAGAACATAAACTTAATTCTATTATTGTTGTTTATAGTTTTTAAGTTTTCTTGTTTTATTTTTAATACTTATTTTATCAAAAAAACTTAAAAAATTAAATCTATCAGGTGGTTAGCCAAGAAAATGCAAAATAAATGCAAACGCCAGACCGAAAAGCAAAGTTCTCTTCTGGTTTCCTGCCCTTCCCATTCCAGTCCTTTCATGCCCTTCTCATTTTCTGATTACGTTCAGTTTCGCTTTGATTTCCATTTACACGTTTCCTTTCCGCTCCCCCCATCCGCAATTACATTGCACTTTTTGGCGCGTGCATTACGCCCTGTGCCCTCCTCGCTTCCTCTTCCTCACTTGCACGGCTTTCTTGCATTCCCTTTCTCTGTTTATTTCGGTATCTCACTCGCACGCTAGCGATTTTGTTTTGATTTCGCCACACGGCGACACTTATTTTGTGAGAGCTAACATGAACTATCAGATGCTCTATCAGAATAATATTATTAAAGGTTTGGATTTACAAAAATGCAATATAGGGTTTTTCTAAGGTTCTTCAATAATTTAGTAAAAACTTAATATATTTCTGTATAATTTTCTGAATCTATATTTTTCTTGAATTCTTTTCTTATTAAGTTTTCCATCTTCTGACCTAAAAATACTAAACAAAATCAACGAAATAACTAATATGCCTTTATTTGCAGGGCATCAGTGCAGCAGAATTGGCGCGTAATTCACGAGCTTTTCCCCCCATCGAAAGTGCAACTTTTCCGCTGCTGGCAAAGTTCGATTTCGATAAGTTTTGAAATACACATTTTCGTGGTTTTCGTAATTTTTGCGCAATTAATTTTTGCTTGTGCTGCCATTTTTGTTGTTTATGCAATTACGGTAAATGTGAAAGAGGAGAAAAATACCAACTGCGTAAATAGCTGGCAACAAGTGGCCTGGCCGCGCTGCTGCAGCGTCGACGCCGACGTTCCTGAGTGTGTCTCAATTTCAAGATTTTTTTTTTTTTTTTTTCAATTCTGCCAAGCTTTCACAAAAATTCTACGACGTAACGTTAACCTGTTCACTTCCCTTCAATCATTCGCGTAATAAACGTCTAGAGATGGTTTTGATACAAAATGCCAAAGGAAATGAAGGAAATATGATTCGATATTGGAAGCCATCGTTTTGGGAAAAATATGAAACACAAGACAGTTTATCAAGAATTGGAAATTTTATGAGGTAAGTGCTGAAAGTTTCTTTATTTTATCAAGGCTTATTGTAAAAAAAAAATATATTTATATATATAATATGAACATTTTCCTTGTTAAAAATTAAAAAATATCAATAACTTGTTTTAAACTTACCCAAAAAATAACTATATGGAACGTATTTTAAAGTTTTTTACTTAAAACTTTAAACGCGGCAAAGTTTGCTTAAACTTCTAAAATATTAATATTATAAATTATAATATAGAAAAATAGAAATAAAACAACGAAGATTTATTTTAATTTTAATAAAAAATTCATTTCAATAGTCTTCTAATAAGTCGAAGTAATGAAATTATAACAAAATAATAAAAAAAATATATTTTGGGTAAAAAAATAATATCAAGAAAATATAAAAATATTTATACCTTAACAAAAAAAATGATTTAAATTATTATTTAAATAAAAGTTTAAGCAACTTATCTGAAAACTATATGTACATTTTCAAGCTCATATTTATCATATCACCTAATTGCATAATTATGTAAGTTGAAATTAAGGAAATGAATTTAGAACAAAAACGTAGCAAATATAATTAGAGGGATTTTTGAAATTCCACATCGACACCCATCACTAGCCAGATTTTATGTGATATTTAACGGTTTACACGTGCAGCAACAATGTAACATTTACGTTGACGCCGGCGTCAGGGACAGCGTCGTCTCACTCGCTCTCGGCCACGGCTGATAAGATGCAACCGTCATTGTTGCGCAGCAGCAGTAGCAGCAGCGCTGCCAACGACAGGTGTGCCCTGTAATCGTAATGGCAATTCAAATATTTATTCATATTGCTATTTCTAGCTGTATTTACTTACAAATACACTGAACATATAGTAATCTAGTAAGTTATGCTCTTGATCTAGGCCCGCAAACAGACCTCCATTGATAGAGACCAGTAATCGTAAAGTCGATTTTTGCGCACCAGCTTTTAGAAACATTGTTGTCGATAGATCAGAATTACATATATACATGGAGAAAAATATAGTGATCTTTTTCATAAAAAATAATTTTTTTCTTAGGTATTACCCTTTTTTTAATTAAATTTTTAAATAAAAGTTGGGATTTTTTATTATCTAGAAAGTAATATTTTTTTTTTAAAGTAGGTCACATTATTTGAGACCTAAGAAAATTGGTCTTACTATTTGGTTTTTATTATAACCTAAAATTATTGAAAATAGAATTATCTCTTATTATTATCCATAATAATTTTCAATAATCAATTCTAATTTATTTAAGATGATTTTATTTAATTTAGAATTAAAATTTTATTATTCCTTATTTCTCCAACTGTATTTATAGTGAAGGCTATAGATTTGCAATTATTTTTATTTTTTTGTCTTTTATTATTTTTGGCGCCACCTTTTGGACGCCTTTTCGTATCAGAAGATAACACTTGTCCAGACCTTCAATTATGAATTATTGGAGGGGCTCAAGACTTGAGTATTTTGGCATAACTGATTCATAGACGTAATAATAGGCACAAAACAAAAAAAAAACCCATCGAAGGTCACGTTTTTAACAGTTGACGGGGATTTTTAAGGATTACGGAAATACTATTGATTGTGAAAGTTATCATTGAAGTTTTTCCAAAGAATTGTCAAATGATTTTCACATTTTAGATCAAATAAAATCCTATATTCTATTTACTGTTTTTTAAGATCATAATATCCCACTTGGTACATGTCTTATAATCCCTTCTTTGCTTTATTTTTTGTAATTTATGAAAGGAATAACAGTTTTTCACAGTGGGTACTGTATAGCCCTCTCCCATGCTCTGTCCCCCTCTTGGGCTTTGCATCTGTCCCAGTCTCTCTGTTTGTTTTTTTTCCTATTCTCCCATCTACCTCAACTTCTTTGTAGTTGACACATTTTGCATAGAGCTTCGAAAAGGATTACGGAAAAGGTGTTAAGCAGACAAAAAGCAACAACAAAAGCACTACAAAAAAAAAATGCCAATGCATTGCCGGGGAGAGAATGGCAGCTGCAAAAACAACAACAAGAAAAGCACAAGAAAGCGCGAGAAGGTGGGGGACAAGAAGGATGGATGATGATGATGATGATGATGACGAGAAGGATGGGGAGATGGGAAGACAACGCACAAGACGAAGATGACGCCGCTGGTACAGTTGCGCTCACACACACCCATACGCGCAGCGAGAGTGCCCACAGACTGAGAGAGAAAAGCGAAGAAACTGCAGCGTGGCGCTTTTATAACGGCATACGAAAAAAAAACCAAACACCACAGACGCGACTTAATATCTTTAACTTTTTTCTTGTTTTTTTTTTTTTTTGCTTTTGCATTTTTTTTTCGCCAGGCGCACTCAAAACAAAACGAATAACGCAGCCGATAGAATGCGAGAGCATGAAAAAGCTTTGGAAGCTTTATTGGCGCGCCGTGTTGCTGACTCTCTCACACGCCGGTATTTCACAACGGCGTCTAAACTAACTAATTATTAATTATAGACCATTTTGCAAATGTTGCCTACAAAAACAAAAACAAAAAGCTGCAAAAATCCAATGTATGTAGCTCGGCGGGGGGGTCAGGTGGGGTGGGGCATGGTTTAAGAATGTAGGGGCGCAACCCTTGGACCGGCTGGAAAGAGTGCCAGAGAGGAAACGGGCATGGCATGAGAGAGTGAGATGCAGAGAGTAACAGTGCTTGAGCGCCGGCAGAGTGTCACTTTGAGTGACTCTCTGACTTTGCGTGTCTTTGCACTCTGGCAACATGTGTATGTTGCAGCAACATTGTTGAGCGGGCTGGGTGTTTTTGTTTTGAAAATATCTAAGGTTATTTTTTGCAGTTTTATTGAAGATGGAAAGTATTTGAAATTTTGATATTCAAGTTTTTAAATTTTTTTTAAATAGTTATCCATCTTTATTTATTAATTTAATATTTTCTGAGGTGAAAACAAAGTTCAAGGTTGTGTATTTTTGTTTGCCAGAAATTACATGAATAATTTAAGTTAAGTGGATGGAGTTTTGGGGCTTGTGTTTGTACATATTTTTATGTAAATAAACATACATGTATAAATGTTTGTTGGCCATATAATTCCTCCCTCGACACCCATGGCACCTTATTTTTTATGGATCCCCAATGTCCTGTCCCCCTTTTTCTTTATTTTTAACCACCCTTTCATTTTCTTTCATTTTTTTTTTAAGTAATACTCATCCCCAAACTCTCATTAAGTTTGCTCAGAGAATATAAATTTTCCCATACTAATTTTAATTTACAAGGGAGTGTTCAGTTTTTTTTTTTAAGTTGGTTTCTAATGGGTTTTCATTTTAAAGAAAATAGGGGATAGAAAATAGTTGTATTAAGTATATTTTTGATTTTATTAATATTTTAAATTTTTTTTTAGACTTTTAGTAACTTATACAAATTTTAGAATTGCTGATAAATATTTTTGGATATTTCGAAAATTTTTGAAAACATATATATTTTTAAATTCATATATTTTTTTTCTTGTTGGAAATCTATAAGTATTATTAAAATTTTATTATATATTTTTTATTTAACAAAAAATTATTATAAAATATATTAACCTTTTCTTTAATATGTAAATTTTTATTAGTTTTTATCATTATTTTTTTTTGTAAAATCGAATCTCTATTTTTGTCAAAAAAAAATACCTTCTCCCTAAAATGGATTTTAAATTTTAATGAGGACCTGCGTTTTATTTATTTTCCTTCAGTCTGACTGCCTCCTGCCGACTAACTAAGCGTTCCTTATCCTGGTTTCTGGTACAGTTTTGCCTTTTCCTTGCCATTTGCGGCCGTCTGCGTATTTGGCACAAATTTCCACACGGATGACTGGCCGGGGCTGGCGGACTGACGCTGGGAGCGGCCGCCTGTTTGGGTGGGGGCGGTGGTCCGGCGGGGCGTGGTTGTCTGGCGACCTTCAAAACGATAATGAAATCCAAGCGCAGCAACAACGCAAAAAGCAAAACAAACTTGTCAGACAGGACGAAAGGACATTCAACCGTAATAAGGAAGAAAGGGCGGGAAGCGGGGCTCAGGATGATGTGGGTGGTGGGATGAGGGGGTGGTGCAGGACAGACAGATACTTCCACGTCCTTCCTTTCCTGCTGCGGCGGCTGCTGTTGCTGTTGCTGCTTCTTCTTCTGCGTGTCCTGCGCAATCAAGAAAGTCTCCAAAGGATTCAGACGCGGTTTCAGACGCCATCTTCTCCATCGTCCTATTTTTTTTATATTTCTATACCCTAGCAGAAGGGTATTTCTGATCTTGAATAGTTTTTTTTTATGAATTTTTTTTTGTGGATTCATGAAGAATGTCCTATTAATTCCTCTTTTGTCCTCTTAATTATCCTCTTATCCTCTAAATTAATTTATGGAGGATTAAATAAAAAAGGATTAATTACAAATTTAAGAAAAAAATTATTTTCAAGCATCAAACTCTCAGAGTATATAAGCTTCGGTTCCTTCGTAGCTGCATACCTTGTCGTCTCCTCTTGAAGGTCACGCCCTTGGCCTCCTGGCCCGCCTCTTACAGTGGGCGTGGAACGAGGCAGTGGCTGCAGCTCCTACTTCTCCAATATATTATTATTTTTATTATTTTTTTTCCTCTGCTGGCTGGGAATATGTTACTGCTTTGTTTCTGCCGTGTTTGGATGTGTAGAGATGTGTATATGTAGTTATCCTTTTTAGCCGGCAAGGACACACCCGTTGAGGGGGCACAAGGTCATTTTGTGGGCCAGGTTAATGTGCGTCTGCGACGGGAATTTGGAATTGGCATCGGAATTGAAATCGGAATTGGAAATGAAAATTATCCGAGCGAAATGGCGAGGAAGGAAAAGCGATGAGATACTAAGGACATTAGGGACCAAAAAATAAATAAATAAAAGAGGAAAAGGGGGGTTTCAACAAGTCGAGATTTAAATATGGAAAAAGTTTTAAAGGAAGAAAATTATTTAAAAAACTCAAAACACAACCTAACCCATCTATGTATATTTTGATTA